GAGTTGGTTTGGGGGGATTTCTCTTTTAAACCATCCCTCTTTCTTCAGAAATTTCATCTTTTCTATGCTTGGATTTCCTTAAGGAATCACACTGAAGTTGATAGCTTGGTTGCCATTGTTCTCCTTTAGCTGAAGAACACTCTGGTTGCATTCAGACAAGACAGTTAACTTAGATCAGGGGTTCTCAACCTTGGCAACTGTAAGACTTGTGGACTTCAACTCCCAGAATTTCTCAGCCAGCTTTGCTTAGATAGTGAATGAAACCACTTTTCTGGATCCACAGAATATACTACTAAGCCACACTGAGAGACTCATGGGTAAACACTACTCAAATGTAGCATGTTGTGGACATACAGATAGTGCTTGACTTCTGACTGATTGCCTAGCAAATGTTTGAACTTACAGTGGACAACAAAAACGCTACTTACGACCCAGATTTGATTCTCTCTCCATAGTCACATGACCAAATTTTGGACCCTTGGCAACCACGCTGCCTTTATGGCCATTGTACCACCCCACAATAATAGCAATATAGGGCTCTTTTGCCCTAAATCCATCCTTACTTACATCAAAGTGTTCGCTTTACGACTGATAGGTTAATTTTATGACTGATGCATTTGCTTTACCATCACTATGTACCCTTAATGGCTGCCACAAACATCAGCCATTTCCTTCGACCTTCATAACTGTGGATTGAATTATGGTTGTAAGTCAAGGACTACTGTATATTTGCGATTGTCCTGGTTGACTCTGATGTGAGAATAAGCTTTTACCCAAGGACTTAGGTCTGATTCACTGGATAGGGTAAAATTCAAGGTGATACAACAGCACATTGGCACAGCTGATTTAAAGAATAATACAGGTGCTCCTCAATTTATGACCACAATTAAACCTAGCCAATTACTAAGCAAGAGTTAAATGAATTTTGCCCCGTTTAACAACCTTGCTTGCCAACTTGCTTGGTCGTAAGTTGAGGACTACCTGTATAACCATGCATTTCTGCTCCCTAGGTGGAGATTCTGTTACACTGTTAGGAACACCATCTTGACTTTTTTGACCACCCCATATGGCCAAACTGCTGATTTCTTCTTATTTTCCTTCAATCTCTGCTGCTGAATGATTGCAATCATTTTTTTTTTTATTTTGTTTCCTTCCATCTGAGAATTCTTTTCAAAGACAGGTAGTTCTCAACTTTCAACCACAACATTTCTGTTGCTAAGTGAAGTAGTTTTTAAGTGAGTTTTGCCCCATTTTATGACCATTCCTGCCACTGTTGTTAAATTAATAACATGGTTGTTAAGTGAATCTGGCTTCCTCATTGATTTTCCTTGTCAGAACGTCGCCAAAGGGGATCACATAAACCAGTGATGGCGAACCTTTTAGAGACCAAGTGCCCAAATACTACCCCGCCCCACCCTGCCTGTCACTCCATGCCCCGCCTGCCCGCAGGGCCACCCGCCTCCACGGCCCACTGCAACAGATCGCCCAGGCGGCTCAGCAGGGCCACGCGGGCCACACCCTCCATCCGCGCCCTGCAGCTTCATCTGCGCATGACGGAGCATGAGGGTGGAGTCTTGTCCCCACTACCCGGCTGCCATGTCCTTGGCGGCGCTGCTCTGCGCTGCTGCACCCAGGGGCGACTCTCTTTCAGTGGGGGCTGCTGGTGAGGAGAAGGCCATGGGGGGAGGCAGGGCTGAGGCGAAGGCACGTGTGCCCACAGAGAGGGCTCTGAGTGCCGCCTCTGGAATGCGTGCCATAGGTTCGCTACCACTGAGGTAAACCCAGGACGCTGCAACCATTATAAATAGGAATCAATTGCCAAATGTCTAAATTTTGACAACTATGGGAATGTTGCGATGGTTGTAAATTTGAAAAACAGTCATGTTTTCAGTGTCCTCTCCTCTCCTCCCCTCCTCTCCTTTTCTCTCACTCATTCTTCTTGCTCCAAAGAATAATTGCAGTGCCATTTATTCACCATTTAGTTCTTTATGGCCACTGCCTGCAAAGATTCCACTCCCAGATTCTTCTGATTTACCCTGTGTGGTAGTCAAAATATCTCTATAAAGGGCACACTTTAGAAAAAAAAAAGAATGTACATTTTAATAATATGCAAGTCCTACTGGCATCATATGAATTACCTTTGGGTGAACATGTATAATACTACACTGCTCAGGGGCCTTTCTCTTAAGTAGCAGGCAAAATTTGGTCAGGCTGCTGTAACGTGTAATTTAAAGAAGAGAGAGATCGTATCTGTAGACACCTGTCAAGAAGGCATGCTCTATTTATTTGATTCCCGACATCTAGTACAATAAATTGATGTAAAATTTGGGTCTCCTAGCAATTCCAGTGCAAAAGAGGAAGTTGAAAAAGTCGTTGTAGTAATAGTAGTTGTATCAGCAATAGTTATAGTAATGGTACCATTAACAGCTGTAGTAATAGCACTATTAGTAATATTAGAGTAATAGTAATATTAGAGGGTACAGTTCTCCAAAGTCTATATCAGTGGTGGCAAACCTATGGTACGTGTGCCAGAGGCAGCACTCAGAGCCCTCTCTGTTGGCACACGCACCGCCACCGCTAGCAGCAGGTCCATCTGGCTGCCACTGCTTCCCATAGCAGGAGCCCTGCCCAAAACAAAGGAGGTGAAGCAGCCGACTAGGAAGCTTGAGTAGAGGTGGTAGAGCAGAGGTCACCAACCATTGTCGATTGGCGGACTGGAAGAAAAGGGAGAAGGAAGTATTTTACATGTGCACGTGCACACACGGGGCTGCGAGCACGCACACGCTGCAAATGAGGTGTGGCTAGTGCCTGCATGATACTCACTAGCCCTGCCCCTTGCGTGGTGCAGCCCCTTGTATCTGCACCCCGCGATGCGGCGGCGGCCATTTTTGCTCCTTGGAGCACGGTGGCCCATTTTTGCACCCCTGGTTTTTGCGTGCCAGAGGCGGCACTCAGCAGTGCTTCCCTGCCCCCCTGAGGGCACCACAATGCTGATGGGCCCCTGGCACTTTGCGATAAATAAGTGGGTTTTGGGTTGCGGTTGGGGCACTCGGTCTCTAAAAGGTTCGCCATCACTGGTCTATATTGTTGCCAAATGCAAAAAAGAGAGAACTAGGTTAGTGGTTAAGGCAGGGATGTCAAACTTGTGATGTGTCACGATGTATTGTGATTTTTTTTTCCATTGCCGGCAATGGGGTGGGCGCGGTTTTGGCATGATACATCTGGCCCGCGAGCCGGCAGTTTGACACCCTGGGGTTAAGGCATGTTTTTTGAGCTAATGACTAAGACACCAGGCTAGAAAGTGAGAGACTGCGAGTTCTAATCCCCACTTAGATATGAAAGTCAGCTAGATGACTTTGGGCCAATCAGCAGGAGAACATGAGTTCTAGTCCCGCCTTAGGCATGAAAGCCAGCTGGGTGATCTTGAGTCTCTCAGCCCAACTCAACTCACAAGATTCTTGTTGTGGGAAAAGTGAGGGGAGGAAGTGTGTTGGATATGTTTGCCTCCTTGAGTTACTTATAAAAATAATAAAGGCTGGATTAAAAAAATCAAATAAACAAATCAAAGGTTTTAATCACCGGGGAAGGCAACAAAATAGAGGTGGAGGGAAGAGATGGCAGGTGAGTTTTGTAATCAAAAAGCAGAGATTGCAATCATGAGAGCAAGCAGAAGTAGGATAGACATAATTGGTATGCTTTGCTTGGAATTCAAATGCATCACCAATTTTACAATCTAGCACACCTCTCAACCTGTGCCACTTTACGATGTGTGGGCTTCAACTCCCAGAATTCCACGCTAGCTGGGGAATTCTGGGAGTTGAAGTCCACCCATCTTAAAGTGGCTGAGATTGGGAAACACTGAGCTAGCATATTACCTTGGTGCAGTGGTGGGCTTTGAAGGACCACTATGGATGTGTATAAACCTGAGATTAAAAACAAATCACAGCTGGGGAGGTTGATAAAAATAGCAAGAAAGCAGCTCCCAATTGCTATTTCCCAGAGACTGGTGGAAGGATCATATTAAGACAGTGATGGCGAATCTTTTAGAGACCGAGTGCCCAAACTGCAACCCCAAACCCACTTATGTATCGCTGGGTGCCGGATGGATGTGACCCACTTAGTGGGTGCAGCTACAATGGGCTTGGCAGACTGGATAGGCGTGGCTACTGGATGGGTGTGGCTGCAGTAGTCATGGCAGATTGGGTGAGCATGGCTGGAGTGGGCATGGCCACCTTGATGTTGATTATGGGGAAGGACACCTGTGGGAGCCGGGCAGGGTTGGGGGAGATCCAGGGGGTCTCTGGTGGGTGTGATGGTGGGCTCCCCAATGGTGGCTCCAGACTGGCTGGCCTTAGGCCAGTGATGGCAAACTTTTAGAGACCACATGTGCTGGAGCGATGGTGCGTGCCCACAGAGAGGGCTCCGCGTGCTGCCTCTGGCACGCGTGCCATAGGTTCGCCACCACTGTATTAAGAGGTTCCTCGGGAGTTATTTTGCAAGAGTGTTTTTAAAGGTTTTGCATTCTCAAGAATACCCCAGTGATGCTTTTTCCAAAAGGCAACTGGACTTTCTTAGTTTCTATTTTGAAAACATTTTGCTTCTTATCCAAGAAGTTTGTTCAGTTCAGAAGTTTCTTGGAGAAGCAAAATGTTTTCAAAGAAGAAACCAAAAACGTCCAGCTGCCTTTTGGGGGAAAACACACACACACACACACACATACACACACCTTTGGGACAGTCATGATCTGGATGGTTGAGAATCTCTATGGACGTTCTCAAGAATAGACTTCTTGATGGCCACGAAAAGTGAATGGAAAGACTCGGTAAAAGAGATGATGTAGAAATGAGTGCTAATTCAGAGCGCAACCCAAGAGGTGAGTGAGTTGATTGGATAATAAACAAACATCCAGCTGAGACGGATGTGGTGGCAAGCCTAAACGTATGAGCTCAGCCTGCAGCAAACAAGTTACACCTGAACGTCAAGTCTCACTTTGGGGAGGAAGGAGTTCCCGTGGCCTACAAACATATTCAGGTATCCAAGGATCCAGGAAGCATCTCACTTCACTTCTTCTGGCTCCGGGAGAGAGAAGACAAGGAGGGCAACGTTGACTCATTGAACAACGAGCAATGAAAGAAGCAGCTATGAAAGGGACCAGACCTTCCTTCACGCCAAGCAGCTTGTTGGAACAGCAGAGCTAAATTCCCTCGGAGAAATTTCCCAAGAAAGGGATGGACAGTTTCATCCGAAAACACTTGCATTTCTTTCATACGTTCTGGAACAAGTGTGTGCCCAACGGAGCCTCCAGTAACCGTTCTTTCGATTCCTGGGAACCGATCCCAGGATCCCTACATCCCACGCTGGATCCTGACCGTGCTGAAGACAAAGCTTCCCTCCGGGGGGTGCTGTACAACTACACTGCCAGGAATGCCGAGGAGCTGAGTGTGACTAAGGGGGACAAACTCCATGTCCTCAAAGAGGACGGGGGTTATGTCCTAGCAAGGCGCCTCTCTGGAGACAGAGTCACGGGCTATGTTCCAACCAGCTACATCAGCAGGAGCAATGGGGAACCAGCCAGCCATCAATCGTAAGTACCTAAATCTTGGGACTATCACTTGTCATCCCTATACCTAAAAAAAAAAACCCCTTCTAAAATGAGAAGTGTGATGCAATATTTGGGATGATAGGTTTGGGTACCTATGGAAAGTTTCCAAACAGGCAAAGCTACTTATTACACAGCAATCTTTAGGGTGGAAACATCCAAACAGCCACTAGAGAGATCCTAAGAAATTTTTCATATCTCTTTGCTGCCCTCTAGTGGTTGTCCTGAAGCTTGAAGCCCAGATATTGACATCTTAGCAATTAAGAGTGTTCCCGGTGTTTCCTACTCTCTCTCTCTCTCTCTCTCTCTCCGCCCATCTCTTAATATTATTTTATTGTTTATTTTTGTTTCGTTGCTTGTTAGGTTTGCATTTTTTTATCGTTTTTCCACTTTACTGTCGTAAGCCAAGCAGAGTAGCCTGACGGTGAGATCGGTGGCAAATAAATTTAACAAATAAATATAATAAATAAATCTGATGAGTAGCAACAACAGAAAGGGCACCACTAGTAGGCTACAAAATTTTAGAGATAATTAGCAGATGGTCGTGGGGATGTGCTAAATAGTTCCTATTGGAAACTATTGGAGCATATTTTTTTCCCTTTACAATTGTTTGATTGATTTCCTTTGTAAGTGATGCAGATGTATAAATTGCTGTTAGGGAAAGATGATGCTTGCTAAGCAATGGGGATTATCAGGAAAAGACTGTGTGAATTTTTGCTATTTCCTCTATCTGTCCTCATGATTCTCTAGATCAGTGATGGCGAACCTTTTAGAGACTGAGTGCCCCAAAACTGCCCCCCCAACCCGTCCCCACTCTGCCCTGCCCACTGGGCCACCCACCACCTCCACGGCCCACCACAGATCACCCAGGCAGCCCAACAGCGCCATGGCGGCCATGCCCACCACCCGTGCCCCACAGCATCATCTGCGCGCAACGGAACACAAAGGCGGAGTCTTGTCCCCGCTGCCCAGCTATCATGTCCTTGGCTCCGCTGCTTCGTGTGGGCTGCGCCCAGGGGTAACTCTCCTCCAGTGGGGCTGCTGGTGAGGAGGGGGCCGTGGGAGGAGGCGGAACTGGGGAGACGGTGTGTGTGCCCACAGAGAGGGCTCCGAGTGCCACCTCTGACACCTGTGCCATAGGTTCACCACCACTGCTCTAGATTTTTTACTTCCCCAGATCTTGTTGGAGATGCAATATTTCCTAATTCCAAGGCCTTTTGATGGATATTTATGGAAATATCTTGGTGTCCTCATATATCAGAGGCACTTAGGATTCTTTTCCAGGCAGGATCAATCTTCAAAGAAGTTAATCATTTTTTATAAGCCAGCCTGAAAGCAATTGTGACCAATTCTGGGGAATAATATTTATGTGAAGCAGTCTCCCTGCAATTGGCACCTTCCAAGGCTCAGAATGTCTACCCCAGAGGTCTTCAAACTTGGCCCTTTTAGGACTTGTGAACTTCAACTCCCAGAATTCCTCAGCCAGGCACGTGTGCCTGGCTGAGGAATTCTGGGAGTTGAAGTCCACAAGTCCTAAAGGGTCAAGTTTGAAGACTCCTGGTCTACCCAGTAGGGACAATGAACAAGCAGAGAATTCTGGGACTTGTAATCTGTAGGATAACTGGAGAAAGCTGGTGTCAGTCATAGGTCAATTGGCGAGTTCCTTGAAAAAGCTTAGAGACCAAGTTCAAATTATGCACAATCTCACAGCCTAACCTATGAGAAGCAGCACCTTTTTCTAAATTAGGAAAGAGAGTATAAATCACCCCACATAGATCAAAGCTACTTAGTGATGAATCTTGTTGGGATGCTCATTCCCATCCTAGAGAGCCAGTTTGTCTAGTGGTTAAGGCACCAGTCTAGAAAGCAAGAGATTTGAGTTCAAATCCTGCCTTATGAATGTGTAGCGTTACCCCCCTCAGAGGCCGCCAAAGCCCAAGCCCTCCCAGCCCTGCTCCCCTCCATCACACTCTTCAGCTGTGCTCTCAAGGTGTTGTTGTTGTTGTTGTTATTATGCCTGGCATAATAATAATAATGATAAAGTTGGAAAGGACCTTGGAGGTCATTTAGTCCAACCCCCTGCTCAGGCAGGAAACCCTATACCATTTTGGACAAATGGCTGTCCAGTTTCTTCTTAAAAACTTCCAGTGTTGGAGCATTCACCGCTTCTGGAGGCAGGTTGTTCCACTGGTTAATTGTTCTCACTGTCAGGAAGTTTCTCCTTAGTTGTAGGTTGCTTCTCTCTTTGGTTAGTTTCCATCCGTTGCTTCTTGTCCTGCCTTCAGGGGCTTTGGAGAATAGCTTGACTCCCTCTTCTTTGTGGCAGCCCCTGAGATATTGGAAGACTGCTATCATGTCCCCCCTCGTCCTTCTCTTCGTTAAACTAGACATACCCAATTCCAGCAGCCTTTCCTTATATGTTTTAGCCTCCAGTCCCCTAATCATCTCTGTTGCTCTTCTCTGTACTCTTTCTATTGTTAGTAAAGTGTCTTTTCTAGCAGAAGCTCACGCAAAGTGAGGAGGTGGCAGACTCTGGTCATCAAAGGGGGGTCTTTCAGGAACAAAGATGGCCAGACCCTAACCCCGATAGTCAATGCATGACAGTGTTTAACAGCCCCAGGCAATCGTAGTAGCAATAGTCAATGATTTCACAGCAACCATTTGGAAACAAGTGGGATGGGGAAAACCCCGGCTCCAGACAGCAATAGGAACACGAACGAAGGTAGTCAGCATTCTGCAGTAACAGCTCGCCCCTCAAGGGCAACTCCCCACAATGTCTATAATTTGCACAAGTAACAATAATCAGAGTTTGGATAGCCGCTAGTCTCCAAAGCAGTAACGACCAGCCTCTCCTTTTCTGTCGTCGCTCGCAGTCGCAGTCTCAGGTCTCGTCGGTGTCAAAACCTCTCCCCACTTTCCTTTATTGTTAAAATCTGAATTTAGCAATCCCAACAACTTTCTCTCTCCTCACTCTCTCTCTCTTGCCTCCGCTCGGGATATCCCCCCCCCCGCGAAAGAAAGCAGTAAAATTCCACCTTCTCGCTCTCTCTCACGCTCTCCTTCCCTCTCCTTCACAGAAAGGGATCAGCTAAAACCTCAAATCCCTCTTCGACGTCACCCGGTCTCTCTCCGACCACAGCAACAGCAACCACTCCCTTTCTTTCCCCCTTTTTTCTTTCCTTCCGCGGGATCTATGCCCGCCCAGCCCCAAAACCGGCAGCAGCTGTCCGAGTTTTCCTCTCCCTGGACAGGCTCCTGCAAAGCCTTTCAGCCAGGCCCGCTACCCATGAAAGCCAGCTAGGTGACTTTGCACCAGTCCCTCTGTCTCAGCCCAACCCAACTCACAGGGTTGCTGTTGTGGGAGAAATAGGAGGAAGGTGTGTTGGATATGTTTGCCACCTTGAGTTATTGGCTAAAATAATAAAGGTGAGAAATAATTAAATTAAATAATCCTGATGGGTGAAAATAGAAAACCCGCCAGTTTGAGACCTCTGTGGATTTCTACAGAAGGCCACCTGAAGAAACTAGAAGCATTTGAAATGTGGATTTACAGGCAGCTGTTACGTATAAGCTGGGTTGACAAGATCAGAAATGAGGAGGTGATAAGCCGCCTGAGAAAGCCAAGAGAAATCATCAAAACAATTAAAAAACGAAAATTAGAATATTTCGGACCTGTGATGCGACACCCAGAAAAATACGGCATACTCCATTTAATCCTCCAGGGAAAGATTGAAGGCAAAAGAGGTCCAGGCAGAAGAAGAACATCGTGGCTTCAAAATCTAAGGGTCTGGTTTGGACAAAACTCAGCAGCACTTTTTCGTGCGGCTGCTGATAAAAACAGGATCGCCAACATGATCTTCAATGTCCGATAATGGATATGGCACAAGAAGAAGAAGAAGTGAATTGCTATGTAATCCACAGAATTTCTGTGGATTTCATCCTAGAAGCAAGGGATGGAAACTAATCAAGGAGAGAAGCGGCCTAGAACTAAGAATAAATTTCCTGACAGAAACAGTGGAACGACTTGCCTCCAGAGGTTGTGGGTGCTCCAACACTGGACAGCCATTTGTCTAAAATGGTGTAGGGTCTTCTGCTTGAGCAAAGGGTTGAACTCTGTTATTCTGTTAAATCCAAGTTTGATGCTTGAGCTCAGCATTGACGGATAGAAAGTCCAATCAAAAATGAAATGGTGACTCGACTGATCATACGCCAGCAAGTCATTTTTGGCTCCTAGTGAATCGTGATTGATATTCTCCAGGATGATCTATCTCTAGCCAGGTTCAGAGTTTGTTTATGGAATATTTATGTCTGATCTGATTGGAAACTGGCTCCTTGGCCATTTTTAATCACGTAAGCCTCCAATTTTTTTATTATATATTTTGTTTAATGTAAACCAGGCCTCTCCAAACTTGGCAACTTTAAGACTTGTGGACTTCAACTTTCAGAATTCCCCAGCCAGCCATGCTGGCTGGGGAATTCTGGTAGTTGAGGTCCACAAGTCTTAAAGTTGCCAGGTTTGGAGACCCCTGTATGGATCAGTAGAAAGTGTGTTGTAATTCTGCGTGGGTAGAGTATTGAACCCGATAATCTTTAAGCTTCCATTCCACTTTGACATGTTATGATTCTGTGCATTAATACTTGGGAAATAGGGTACCTCCAAACATGAACTCTGGATAATAAAAAAAAATTCTTTATAGATAACACTTAAACCTTTTAAAATAGGGTCTCCTGCTTGAGCAGGGAGTTGGAGGACCTCCAAGGCCCCTTCCAGCTTCTATCCTATCCTATCCTATCCTATCCTATCCTATCCTATCCTATCCTATCCTATCCTATCCTTTTATTCTTATTCCTATTCTCTTCTCTTCTCTTCTATTCTCTATTCTACTCTACTCTACTCTACTTTACTCTACTCTACTCTCTAATCCACTCCACTCCACTCCACTCCACTCCATTCTTTCTATTCTATTCTATTCTATTCTATTCTA